TTAAAAAGTAGTGTAATAAATAAATCTAGTAATTTTTCTTTTATTATTATGAATTAAATGTTTTAATGTACACTTTTCTCATATAAGTTTACCCAAATAATTGGTCTCTTTTATCAATTTTTGATTTAAAAAATTCTAAATTAAAAAAATAATAGTAAATATATACTGAGGGTCTAGTAGTCATGACATTAATTAAGCTTTTGGATTTATTTATTTATTTTTTTTGCCATAATTTTGGACTTTTATATTAATTGATCTCATGAAACAACAACTTAAAAAATACTCAATTATAAAACAAATTACCAAATAAAGAAACTTTTGTAATGTGTCAAAAGTACCTCAGATTAAGGATGATATAAAATTTGAGTACATAACATAATTTTCTTTTATTAGTTTCTCTCTTAATATATAGATAGATATTGAATAAATTTCTAATGCAACATGAATAAATAATTGAGCCAAACAAAAAAAATACCCAATAGAAGATTAAGAGCATCAAATCTAATTCAAATATAATACAATTAACTGGATAAAACTTACAATTAAAAAAGAAATAAGTACAATTTTATGAAATGATATTATTAAAACTTGAGTGATATAACATAAAAGGGTTGGGTTACTGTTACATTTTAAATAGTTAATGTCACATCTTTTTAATATAATTATCTATTATACCTTTACGATATTTTTTTAAAATTCTATATTTTTTATTTCTTAATAAATTAAAAATATAATAGTTAATTAAAATGAAAAGGCATTAAAAATATAATAGCTAATTAAAATAAAAAGACGTGATAATAACATTAGTTCATAAAAGGGAGAAAATAACACTTTTTTATACTCAACTTTGTATGTATCTAAATTCAAGAACTTTTTGGTGACATTATTATTTTTTTATATTTAACTCTCTCTACATTAATAGCTTTAATATTGTTAAAAAAAAAATAATAAAGGTTCACACCTTAATTTTACAAATATTATATAATCACTATTTAAATTTTGTCCAATGGTATTAATAAAACTTTAAAAAAATAATACAAAAGAAGTGAGGTTATTGTCATATCCTAAATAGTTAATACCATATTATTTTAATGAAATTATCTATTTTACCCTTACATTACATTTTTTTTCTCAAAATTTTACATTTTTTGTTGTTTCTTATTAATTATTATTAGTTATTACTTACTCATAAAAAGGAAATTTACTTGCCTTGCAAGAAATGGCTAAAAAAAAAAAAACCAACGTTCCAAGTGTTCATGGAAAGAAAAGTGCAACAAAAACTGTACTGCACAATTTAAATATATATAGTTGTAATATATTAATTGATGGTAGAATAACCCATTA